AATATGGTTCATGGGGTCACGAAGAGTCGGACACGACTTAATGACTGAACAACAACAAAATACTATCCTCTTCTTGATAGTATTTAGGAAAAGTCTCCAAAACAATTTATTAAAATTCCTTTAAAGTCTAATAGCTTAATAGTGATACATTTTGTTTGTTCGGCTTTGGAAAGGATAAATATAATGGGATATAAAAATAAAAATCTGGGTATCAGTTTTAGAAGATGGAACTGTACTCTGTTACGTTTATTTGAAATAACAGGATTTCTCTTGTATCCTACTCACCCACCCCAAACCCACAGATAATAGTACAAGAGCAATGTAAATCCATAAAGTATGAATATTTTATTTAACAAGTAAGCATCAGAGGCATTATTTAGAACAATGTAACAAAACTTCAGCCCTGCATAGTATCTTGGATTTATAAAAAAAATTACCACATGAAAATGTATGTTTTGACAGTTCGCATTAACTAGAAGTAAAAAAACAACAACCACCCTATTTCCTATTCTGAAAGTGAGTATGGTACAGATGATATGAGTAGATAAATTTAAAAGCATTATTAATATTATAATTACATTTTCGCTTTCATTGTTAACCATTCAATTCCTATGCCATGACTCTGAGCTTTCTTTAAGAAAGTAAATAAGGGGTCATGATTCAGTGAAAGTTAAGCTAGAGCTACAGGATCTGGGCTGTAAACACTTACAATTTTCAGTATCTTTTTCTTACCATCTTGTAATCATTCAGATTTTTGCAACCCAGATCTGGTAGCCCTGGTTAAGTACTTAAAAAGTTTTCAGTTCTATGCCCCTAGAGTAGTACAAACTGTTAAACTTAGTGGCCTACTTCTAAGTAAACATGTGTAAGATCAGACTGTGTTTCATTACAATGGACTCACTGAAATCAGTGAAATTCAAAGCAGTTACAGCTAATTTCAGTGGATCTATTCTAGGCATGACTAATCCTGGAACAATTCATTAATTTTAGAAAGCTTATATCTCTAAAATAACCATGCTTAACTCTTGTTAATTCATTTCAAGTAAACTCTCACTGAGCTGGCTGAACTTTTGGTATTATATCTCATAAAAACTGTTCGCAGCAGCAAGGTGGGGAACAGACATGCAGTACAATCCTAAAACTTTAATTTACAGTGTTAATTTTTCTTCATTCAGTGCAAAGATTATTTATTTTACTAATAAAACTATTAGCAATGAAAAATTATTTAGGTACAATTGTACTGTATTAAATAAATGCAAAATATGCTTTATACCTTAAATAAACTTAATTTTTTTGCATGTAAGTTCATAAAATTTTCTAAGACTATATTTCAAATGAAGCTGTACATAAAGTCATTTAATACTAAAAATCTACATTATGTATTTTTTCAAGTATGAATCACTCAGAAATATTATTGCCAATACTTGTGCTATAGTCAAAATCCAGGTAATAATCTTGAAAATGTCATTTGGGATCATTCACATCTTGATATATTTGGGTTGAGTTTCTCACTTAATTTATGTATGAGAACTGCCAATTCCTCTGTTGCTTGAGATTTGTCTTCCAGAAGTTCATAGCGAAGACTAGAAATATCTTGTTTAATTTCCTTTAATTCACCTGCGTAAAAACAAACAAAACTTTTAACATAACTCAATAACATAGCTGTCTGCTACGCTGTTTACAGTAGTTTTTAAGATCAAGCAGTTGAAATCCTTCAATTTATATTGATGAATTATCACATAAGCAGATATTCAAAGTCATTACAACTGAAAGCCTTGAACAAATGTGCAATGGCTCAAAGATGTACTGCAACCTTCACTTTTTCCCATTTTTTTCCAAACAAAAAGGTTCACAGTAAGCAATGATACATTTCTGGAATATTTAAGGACCTGCAGACATGCAAGTCATATAGTGTCTCTTCTTGAGGTAAAATTCATCAAACAAAGAAGCAAACAAATATAACTTCCTCTCCAGTTTGTATCATAAAAATAGATATAATTCACCATGCAGGTTCAAATGAATATGGCTTTCCATTACACAATAAGAATGACACCCTAGGAGCATTGCTTACTTGCCTC